GGAACCCTGAACCTTGAAGCCCCCTATTTTGGGCTTCCTGGAGTGGCAAGAACACTCATGCAAGGAAGAGGGTGGCACAGCCCTGGCAATGATGGAAATCTCGTGCCACCACCTCTCTGAGACCTTGCCTGATGCATCTCTTCACTTGTATCCTTTCTGATTATAATAAATGGGTAACAGTAGGTATAGATAACAGTCTCCTTGAATTTTGTGAGCTGTTAGAGAGAATTAATGAATGCACAGGGGGCTATGAGTCAGCAGGGGCTGGCGAGACAAAGTCTTAACTTGTGAAGACACTAGCTCTGGGTGGCTGGTGGTCAGGGAAAAGCTTCAAGGGCAGTCTATGAAGGGCAGAGTCCTCCTAACTTGTGACCTGGCCTCAGGGGCCTAGTGAGAGAGAAAGAGAGAGGCTGGTCTGAAGTACAGGGAGTTGTGCAGTCTCCTGAGCCTATGGCTGGCACCTGATGATCTGGCTCTGGGTGGCCAGGGATGAGGTCTGACCTAATTCAGGGTGGTTATGGTCAGAGAGAGGAAATGCCACTGAAGTGACTGGCAATGAGGAAGTGATAAATGTGGGGTATGCCCACCTTGCCCCTTTAGTAGTGCAGTTACTAGCCTTGCACTAAGACATGACTTGGAGTTAATCATTAAGATCATTTTTTTTCTAGTACCTGTTGAGCCCGTTTTATACACAAATTCAGGTCTTCTATTTTTCCTGGAAACTTTTCATGGATTTAATTGTAAATATTAGGCTTCTTTATCATTGTCAGGGACTTGAATTACATGTTACTTCAAAATTCTTGGCCTGTTTCCCATTCCAACCACTTTATGTCTGACCATTCTTACTTTTACTTTATCTCATTTTCATTCTTTTGGTTATTATTATTATTTTGCTGCTTTTCACATTCCCTTTTAAGTTTCATTCAAGTCTATTCTTCCTTGTGTTTTGCTGCCTTTCAAATTCCCTTTTATGTTTCATTCAAATCTATTCTTCATTGTGCAGCTTGTAATTCAGTCTTGAGAAACCGTTTTAACGCTCCAGGACTCCAGATTTCTGGGTCCTTAGACTTGGAGTGACCCATCCCGGCCATTTGCCCTGGGGTGTCCTTTTGAACCTTGAGCCTTGGAGAAACTGGTTCTAAGGGGTCAAACAATGGTCTAGATAAACCCAGTAAGACTATTTTGCCTTGGGCATTGTGCTGTTTTGAAGAATTCAGTCAGTTTTGGGAAACAGACTCCAAGGGTCAGACTGGGAGCTATGTTTAGGGTAAATCAGTAATTATTTTAATTGTTCTTCAAGACAATGCTGTACGAAGATTGTTTCTGACCACAAATTGTTTATCAGTTATGTTCCAGCCCTTTTTCCATGGCAATGCCAATGAGATGGGGTATAAGTGTACAAGAGTCTTTAGAGCCCTCGTGGCATAGTGGTTAAGAGCTCAGCTGCTAACGAAAAGGTCAGCAGTTTGAATCCATCAGCCGATCCTTGGGAACCTTATGGGCTGGTTCTACTATATCCTATAGGGTCGCTATGAATCGACTTGACTGCAGCGGGTTTGGTTTTTGGTTTTTTGGAAGAGTCTTTAGAGATTCTCTCATCTTCGGAACATTTTTTGACTCCCTAGTCAAAATGTTACCCCAATTTGCAAGTTGTGTATTAAATAAACTTCAATCCATTTCTATTATTGGCTTCATATGATTTTTGTTTATCAGTCTTCATTGCAGATATGATTTTGTCTTTTTCATATTATTAAGAGAGTTCAATCAAGCTCATTTAATGTCTTTCTTTTTTGTATTTTTCAGTAGTAATTTTTTAAATTTCTGACTCATGGTATGTTTTTTGTTTGCTTGTTTTCATCCTCAATAACTTGTTTGAGAATATTTAATTCAGTTTGGAGTGCTATGTTATAGAGATCTGCTTTTGTCATCAGATATTTGAGGACATTTTCCTCTGCTGAATTGTTTGTGTTCTTTTTCTTTTATTTCTGTAGTAGTTTTGTTTAGATGAAGAGCGTGCACCCACATTTCTGTTAACCATGCTGGTGATTTGATATATTTCATGAGTCCTAGTTCAAACACACTTTTTGGTAGTGTAGCTAAGCATTTTTTTTTTTAAACCAGGTAACTTTTTCTTTCTTTTTTGATGGGAAGAAGAGTGAGGGCAGGGGTTGATTGTCCTCCTATTTTTTTTTTCTTTTGTTTCTATTTTTTTAGAGAACATAAATTTCTCCTTCTGCTTTCTCCCCTTCAATATGCAGTTTTCAAAGGGTAACTCTCCCATTCTTTTAATGCTCCTCTCCTTTCCCCCATCAAAGCATTGTCTCTGCAGATTCACAAACATGCAACATGCTCACATTTTTAAATCCCTATAGCCCTGGTGGTACAGTGGTTAAAACAATCGACTGCTAACCGAAAGGCTGGCAGTTGGAAACCACCAGTGGCTCTGAGGGAGAAAGATGTGGCAGTCTACTTCCATAGGGATTTATAGCCTTGGAAACCCTATGGGGACAGTGGGTTTGGTTGGTTTGGGTATCCTTTAGTTAGTGATCTGATATAATGTATGCTTTTTTTTTCCCCCAGGTTAGTTCTCATTAGGATGAACTTTCTCTTCTGGGGGTTGTTTTACCTCCCCTCTTTACTTTTTCACATAGTTTTCCCAAATTGCCTTTGTTCTCAGAAAAGGCTTGTAGCAGGTGAATGGCAATTAGCTCACTAGAATTGAGTCTTTAGTTTTCTTTTTACAGGCAATTTAATATTTGGGCATTCTCTGTCTTTGAGTTATGCTAAAGACATAGTATTGGTGTGATTTTACTTGTTACTCTAGTTGTTCTTTACTCTTTTAGAGGAGATGTTTTGAGTTTTGTACTTAAGTGTATGCTACCTACCATTACAAGTTTTTATTTTTTAAATTGCTTTTTATTAAAGTAAAAAAAGGAGTAACGTGAATGAAGCATAATTTAAGAGCTGAATAATTATTAAAATACACCACACTGATCAAGGTCTAGAACATTGCCAGGACCCCAGAAGCCTCACTTTGGCTCTCTCCCAACCCCTAACCCCTCTATACACAAAGGTTCCTGCTCTCTTGATTTATGTAACCATAGATTAGGTTCGTTTCTTTTTCTTTTTAACCTTCTTTTAACATTACTTGATTCATACTCTAGGTATCATTCTGTTTCTGGTTTACTTCCCTCAAAATAACATGCAGAGATGCATTTTTGTAGTCGGTTCATAGCAACATTTCAGTTCTTTTCACTGCTGCATATTAATGTCTCAGTTTGGGTTGAATTCTCTGTTTGGATTCTAGATGGAAATTTAATAGCTTTATGAAAATGGACAATAGAATAGCATATTGAACATCTGTTTCCTGATTTGAAAACTAGGGACACAGCTTCTTACTGTTGGGTTTATTAAGAGAATTAAGTGAGAGAACTTGCCTAAACACTTGATCCTGTGCAGCTTCTTTATTAATATTGGTTTCATTCTCTGTGTTTGTGTGAAAGTGGAAATTAAAGTGTGAAGATTAACGATCTCATCAAGGCAATCTTGTAGGTCTGTGATTAAATAGGACTAGAATTCCAATTTCCTAAGTCTTTGTTGAGAAAATATTTTCCCACTGGGTAATGATTTATAAAATAAAAAAGCAATTAGTCATTTTCACTCTTTGCCCTAAAGTTATCACATAGAGGCTGGTCTTCACCTTTAAATTTTTCTCATAAAATCCATATACTTTTTCCTATTTACACATTGTTGTTTTTGCCATGGATTTTCCTTATTATGTTGCAATTAAATTTTAACTCATTTACCCTCTTATTGAAGCTATAGAATTAATTAGCTTGTGATGAACCATACTGTTAAGCAAAACTCACCTGCCATGACAAACACCAAAATCTGATATAAAAATGTCACCCAAATAAAGACATAATCATGTTTTAGAAAATTACATTTATAATATTTCCCATCAGTATACCCATCTATTGGCTGCTAAGCACTTTTTTGCTTTTCTTTCTTACTTTTTTTTTTTTTTGGTAAGGAACCACACAGGCCCTGAAACATATTAGAAAGATAGAGAAGAACTAACGCCAGCACACTTCCACTTGGATTCTAGAGTTTGTGTTAGGGATTCCATAAACGTTTTATTTCCTTTTATAGTTTAACACAATATTCAACTATTTTTACATGATAATAAAAAGAAAACATACACTAAAATGTATTATAATTAACCCTGTGCTGATGGATTAACCAATTTGGATGCAGACGTTAGTATGATGTTCTTCTTTCTTTTAATTATGCGTTGATTATGAAATTAGTACCCTGACACTCCTATTTAATAAAAACAAAAGCAAGGAAGGAAGGAAGGAAGAGAATAAACAAGGGAGGGAAGAAGGAAAGAGAGGAATAAAGCAGAAAGAAATCAGCTCTGATGTATTTTAAAACAAAATTAGACGTACACTTCTACATACATATGTGCTATCATCATAAATTCCAGGAAAGGTTCAGACATATCCACTTCTTATTTTTTTCTCTTCATGATGTAATAATCCAGTGCTGATAATAACAAGTGTAGACACAAAAATCTTACATTTCTAATGCAGCATATATGGTTTTAGTAGTTATTGTGAGATAGTTATTTTATGCTTTAAATGTAAGTATTTATAAAAAAGAATATCAGATATCATTAGACATTTGAGTCTTGTTTATTTAGTCTATAAACATTTATTTTTTTATCTCATTCCAGGCACTCTTTAAACACCTGGCACAAGGCTCTCATGAATCTTTTATTTTAATGGGGGTAGAGAAACTACAAATCTTAAAAAAAAAAGTGATGAATATTCAATATGGAATCATGTATTGAGTGCTATGAAGAAACATCAAGCAGAGAAGGGGGCTAAAACAGGACGAAGTGAGCAGATACTTTGTAGAAAAGGTATTCATGCAGGACTTGGTGAGGAGGTAGGTTCTGAACAGAGACCAAAGAAAGTGGGGGAGATTATGTCAATATGTTGAAGAAAATCATTGTAGAGACAAGCTTGGAGTATTTTGAAAACAGCAAGAAAGTCAATGAGAGGGAAATAGAGCAAATGAGGAGGAAGAAGCATGAGAGAGAGCCTGAGGCCACCAAGGTAAGTTCATTATAATTGATAACAATATCAACCTCTTTCCACTTAAAGAAATTAGAACTCTGTGGAGAAATGACTGATTCCAGGGCTGTGACAGGGAAAATACAAGGTTAGGCTATTATTTTCTGCCATAAAGTAAGGAAACGATAAAAAACAAACAAACAAATAATTCAATGGGTATCTTGAAAAGGCATGGAAGCCTCTTTGAAGGGGCTTCCAGTGATCATATTTGGGAGAATCTCAGCATCAACATTAACAATAATAATGACGAATTATAACCATTGAACTGAGTCTATACTGATAATAAGAGAAAATAAAATATAAATGAAAGGGGAATAGCTCGTCAGAGAAGAGTGCAAGTAGTAAATCTAGCAAGGATGGTGTATTGGTTTCCCACACTGCTATAACGAAGTGTCACAATGTGAGTGGTTTTATTTTAAACAGCATACATTTATTGTTTCGCAATTCTGGAGGCTAGAAGTTCAAATCATCCTGGTCAGGGTCAGGTCATGTTCTCTCTGAAGTCTCTAGGGGAAAATCCTTTCTTGTCTCTTCCAGCTTCTGGTAACCCCAGGCGTTCTTTGGGTTGCAGCTGTGGCATAATTTCATCATCACATAGCTGTCTTCCCGCTGTGTCTCTCTTCTCTCTTATTAAAAAGAAAAAAAAAAAAAACTCAGATTGGATTAGGACCCACTGTACTCCAGTATGACATCATGTTAACTGATAAGATCTTCAAAGACCCTATTTCCAAACAAGGTCATGTTCACAAGTGCCAGGGATTAGTACTGCAAAATATCTTTTGAGGGGACACAATTATATCCACTGTTGTTGTTAGGTGCCCTCGAGTTGGCTCCAACTCATAGTGACCCTATGTATAACAGAATGAAACGTTGCCTGGTCCTGTACCATCTTCACAGCTGTTTATGTTTGAGCCCACTGTTGCAGCCACTGTGTCAATCTAGCTGACTGAGGGTCTTCCTCTTTTTCACTGACTCTCTACTAAGCATGATGTCCTTCTCCAGGAATTAATTCCACCTGATAATATGTCCATAGTGAGACAAAGTCTCGCCATCCTTGCTTTTAAGGAGCATTCTGGGTGTACTTCCTCCAAGACAGATTTGTTTGTTCTTCTGGCAGTCCATGGTATGTATATTCAATATTCTTTACCAATACCATAATTCAAATGTGTCAATTCTTCTTCTGTCTTCCTTTTTCATTGTCAGCTTTTGCATGCATATGAGGTGATTGAAAATACCATGGCTTGGGTCAGGCACACTTTAGTCATCAAAGTGATATTTTTATTTGTTAAGATTTTAAAGAGGTCTTTTGCAGCAGATCTGCCCTATGCAATACATCATTTGATTTCTTGACTGCTGCCTCCATGGACATTGATTATGGATCCAAGTAAAATGAAATCCTTGGCAACTTCAGTATTTTCTCTGTTTATCATGATGTTGCTTATCAGTCCAGTGGTGAGGATTTTTGTTTTCTTTATGTTGAGGTGTAATTCATACTGAAGGCTGTAGTCTTTGATCCTCATCAGTAAGCGATTCAAGTTGTTTTCACTCTCAGCAAGCAAGGTTGTGACTATTATATCCATGACAGATGGCAAATTTAGAAAGTTATTATTTTACCATCATAATAATAATTGCTTCAGGCAAGAATGGATGCTATAGCCATTGGGTGAAAGGCTGTTATGGAACCAGATATTCACATAGTTTTGTTGTATCACTCATATATTGTCCATTAATTACAAAGACATATGTATCTTGATAGTATAGAAGTCTGGTAGTTAGCACCTTAGCCAAGTGATCAAATTTAACATCACCAGCACTAAAATCAGGTACTTCCTGACACAGTGCAAATAAAGGACACGTTACCTATTCAGTGGTCTTACAAATGTTTTGTCTGAATGTATTCATAAAGAAACAACTAGACAAATCTGAATTGAGGATTTACAAAAGTTGTCCTGAATTATTCACAAGTGTCAACGTCACAAAAGACAAAATAACTGATTCAGTGACTTTTCTGGATTAAAGGAAACAATGTAGGCATGAAAATTAAATATATAGCTGACTTGATACTGCATTTAAAAAATGATATTAAAAGCATAAGTTGGATAAATTTGATAACTATCTCAATATTAAACTACAGCATTTTACCAGTGCTGTTTCCTGAGTGAGTTAATTTCATTGTAGTTATGTAGGAGGTTGTCATTATTCTTAGGAGATATATGCTAAAATACTTATGCATGAAATTTCAAGATTCCTCTCACATGTTTCAGTAAAATAAATGAAGATAGGTCATACATAAAAATGTAAATGTGACACATCTTTTTTGATGAAATGTGTATATATTAACATATACATATATATGTATATATACACACACAAACATATACATATATATATATATAGAAAGAGATGTCAAAATAGGGCAAGATACTAACAATCTAGGTGGAGGTTATACTGGTGTCATGGATTGAATTGTGTCCCCAAAAAATATGTGCATCAATTTGGCTAAGCCATGATTTCCAGTATTGTGTGATTGTCCACCATTTTGTCATCTGATGTGATTTTCCTATGTGTTGTAAATCCTATCTCTATGATGTTAAGGAGATGGAATTGGTGGCAGTTTTGCTGAGGTAGGACTCAGTCTACAGAATTAGATTGTGTCTTAAGCCAATCTGGTTTGAGATATAAAAGAGGGAATGGAGCAGAGAGGAGAGGGACCTCATGCCACCTAAAAGAAGCACTGAGAGTGGAGTGCGTCCTTGGCACCCAGGATCCCTGTGCTGAGAAGCTCATAGACCAGGGGAAGATTGATGACGACGTCCTTCCCCCAGAACTGACAGAGAGAGAAAATCTTCCCAGGGGGCTGCACTCCGAATTCGGACTTCTAGCCTTCTAGACTATGAGAGAATAAATTTCTGTTTGTTAAAGCCATCCACTTGTAGTATTTCTGTTATAGCAGCACTAGATAACTAAGACAAAGGGTGTTTATTTTACTATGTTTGCAACTTTTCTGTGGATTTCAAATTTTTTTTTAATAAAAAGCTGTGAGAAAATACTTATTTTTCCTGTTATATTTTATCTATGGATTTAATAGTCTAGGGAAAAACTTGCTAGCTTTTGTTATTTTGTCATTTTCTTCAAGGAGGATGAGAATTCCATGGGCTTTTTGGGCCACATCTCAGTGAGATAAGTATTTTGATTTCTAGCTCTTCTTTCACCAATTATTTTAAGTAAGTATTAATCGATGTTGAATTGACTCAGTGTGACTCAGCCACTTTCTTCTGAGGTTGGGGGTTCATAGGTATGCAGGATTGAGCCTATGAAATAAGAGAATTGAAGTCATTGGTCAGTATGATGGGATTGGATGGATGAGAAGGAAGGATTGGTAATTTTATTGGTATCTCATTCTGTTGTTTTGCTATGACATCTTACATCATTGAGCCTTCTCCCCTTATTACCATTTAGGCTACATCCATCTCTGACATTTAAAATGTATTCACCGACTGTTGTCCTTCCCCAAGCCTTTTCCATTCAGCTCAAAGAGAAATAGTTGACAAATCCTCCTTACTACAGACAATTTTATTCATTTTTTACTGGCTTTGAGCTGTTTCCTTGTTTGTGTTGTCATGCCCATCTCTATTTCTTACATTTTAATTCTATATCTTGATTCATTCACTGAATAGTTATTATGTGTTCACTGTGCGTCAGGCACTGTTGTAGGGGCTGGCGCCATTCTCCTAACCCTTTCCCATAGGGCAGGTCCTATGCAAATGCCCAAGACATAACCACCTGCATGTTGCAAAATTTCCTTCCTCCCTAGCCTAAGGTACATAATCTGGTATTTGAAATTCCCACCATGAGGATTACTCCTTTGAATTATATTGTTATCTCCAGAAGATGGCCTAGGATATAATAAAAGTTGAATAAGAATGAATGAATGAATGAAAAATGCAAATAAATTACCTGGAAGAGTTGTTATTATTGTTGTTAGGTGTCATCGAGTCAGTTCTCACTCACAGCAACCCTATGTACAACAGAAGGAAACATTGCCCAGTGTTGTTCCATCCCCACAGTCGTTGTTATGCTTGAGCCCATTATTGCAGCCACTGTGTCAATCCATCTCGTTGAGGGTCTTCTTCTTTGTCACTGACCATCTACTTTACCAAGCATGTTAGTCAATTCAAATATTATAGATTCAAGCAAAATAATATGGCACTGGCTAGCTTAAGCACAAAAGTTATTTATTGGAAAAAGGATGGTATAGCTAAGAGTTTAGAAGAAATGTACCAAACCCAAGCTCAAAGAGACAAAACAAGCAGTTCTGGTGTGCTAGCGAGCAGGAGGATCCCTGGTGGCATGGTGGTTAAGAGATCGGGCTGCTAACAAAAAGGTCAGCAGTTTGAACCCACCAGCCTCTCCTTGGACTTGATGACGATTTTTGTTTTTTTTTGGGAGCAGGAACAATATCTTTAGGCCACATAGGTTAAATATACCCCTCACTATTATCTATTCTTCTGATACACTGGCCAAGTTTCATATTTCAGGGAGAAAGTTTTGGTAGGGGGGCAGGATAGTTCCTTACATAAAAATAGATAAGCTCTAACCAGAGAAAGCGTGAATAGACACTGTTTTATTTCCCTGTTGCTGCTGTGACAAATTACCACAAACTTAGTGGCTTAAAACAACTGAGTATATTGACAGTTTTGTAGGTTTGAAGTCCAACAGGACAGTAGAACTGTTGTCAGGGCTGTGATCCCTTCTGGAGGTTCTAGGGGAGAATGAGTTTCCTAGCCTTTTCCAACTTCTAGAGGCTGCTTGAATTCCTTGGCTAGTTGTCTCTTTTCTCCAGCTTCAAAGCCAGCAATGGCAGCTTGAGTCCTTCTTACATCACATCTTTCTGACCTCTTCTTCCTCCTTCTTCCACTTTTAAGGACCCTTGAAATTACCTCAGCCCCAAAGATACTTTGCATCACCTATCAGATGTAATC